TACATATACTATACCAACACTAACTGGTGACTCGGTACATATATGTACATATACTATACCAACACTAACTGGTGACTCGGTATATATATGTACATATACTATACCAACACTAACTGGTCACTCAGTATATATATGTCCATATACTACACCAACACTAACTCGTGACTCGGTATATATATGTACATATACTATACCAACACTAACTGGTGACTCAGTATATATATGTACATATACTATACCAGGGAGACTATATAAGGTTGTAGAGTGTCCCTGACTATACCAACACTAACTGGTCCCTTAGTACATATATGTACATATACTATACCAACACTAACTGGTGACTCAGTACATATATGTACATATACTATACCAACACTAACTGGTGACTCAGTACATATATGTACATATACTATACCAACACTAACTGGTGACTCAGTACATATATGTACATATACTATACCAACACTAACTGGTCCCTCAGTACATATATGTACATATACTATACCAACACTAACTGGTGACACAGTACATATATGTACATATACTATACCAACACTAACTGGTGACTCAGTACATATATGTACATATACTATACCAACACTAACTGGTGACTCAGTACATGTATATGTACATATACTATACCAACACTAACTGGTGACTCAGTACATATATGTACATATACTTTACCAACACTAACTGGTGACTCAGTGCATATATGTACATATACCAAACCAACACTAACTGGTGACTCAGTGCATACATGTACATATACTATACCACTGACTGAGGTTGGTTTTACGCCGCTTTTAGCAATATTCCAGCAACATCAAGACGGGGGACACCAGAAATGGGCTTCACACATTGTACCCATGTGGGATTCGAACCCGGGTCGTCGGCGTGACGAGCTAACGCTTTAACCACTAGGCTACCCCACCGCCCATATACTATACCAACACTCACTGGTTACTCAGTACATATATGTACATATACTATACCAACACTAACTGGTGACACAGTACATATATGTACATATACTATACCAACACTCACTGGTGACTCAGTACATATATGTACATATACTATACCAACTCTAACTGGTGACTCAGTGCATATATGTACATATACTATACCAACACTAACTGGTGACTCAGTACATATATGTACATATACTATACCAACACTACTGGTTACTCGGTACGTATAATATGTACATATACTATACCAACTCTAACTGGTGACTCAGTGCATATATGTACATATACTACACCAACACTAACTGGTGACACAGTACATATATGTACATATACTATACCAACACTCACTGGTTACTCAGTACATATATGTACATATACTATACCAACTCTAACTGGTGACTCAGTGCATATATGTACATATACTACACCAACACTAACTGGTGACACAGTACATATATGTACATATACTATACCAACACTAACTGGTTACTCAGTACATATATGTACATATACTATACCAACTCTAACTGGTGACTCAGTGCATATATATATGTACATATACTACAACACCAACACTAACTGGTGACACAGTACATATATGTACATATACTATACCAACACTCACTGGTTGCTCAGTACATATATGTACATATACTATACCAACTCTAACTGGTGACTCAGTGCATATATGTACATATACTACACCAACACTAACTGGTGACACAGTACATATATGTACATATACTATACCAACACTCACTGGTTACTCAGTACATATATGTACATATACTATACCAACTCTAACTGGTGACTCAGTGCATATATGTACATATACTACACCAACACTAACTGGTGACACAGTACATATATGTACATATACTATACCAACACTAACTGGTTACTCAGTACATATATGTACATATACTATACCAACACTAACTGGTGACTCAGTACATATATGTACATATACTACACCAACACTAACTGGTGACACAGTACATATATGTACATATACTATACCAACACTCACTGGTTACTCAGTACATATATGTACATATACTATACCAACTCTAACTGGTGACTCTCAGTGCATATATATGTACATATACTACACCAACACTAACTGGTGACACAGTACATATATGTACATATACTATACCAACACTCACTGGTTACTCAGTACATATATGTACATATACTATACCAACTCTAACTGGTGACTCAGTGCATATATGTACATATACTACACCAACACTAACTGGTGACACAGTACATATATGTACATATACTATACCAACACTCACTGGTCCCTCAGTACATATATGTACATATACTATACCAACTCTAACTGGTGACTCAGTACATATATGTACATATACTACACCAACACTAACTGGTGACTCAGTACATATATTTACGTATACTATACCAACACTAACTGGTCACTCAGTATGTATATGTACATATACTATACCAACACTAACTGGTCACTCAGTATATATATGTACATATACATTACCAACACTAACTGGTGACTCGGTACATATATGTACATATACTATACCAACACTAACTGGTGACTCAGTACATATATGTACATATACTATAGCAACACTAACTGGTGACTCGGTATATATATGTACATATACTATACCAACACTAACTGGTGACTCAGTATATATATGTACATATACTATACCAGGGAGTCTATATAAGGTTGTAGAGTATCCCTGACTATACATACACTAATTGGTCCCTCAGTACATATATGTACATATACTATACCAACACTAACTGGTGACTCAGTACATATATGTACATATACTATAGCAACACTAACTGGTGACTCAGTACATATATGTACATATACTCTACCAACACTAACGGGTGACTCGGTACATATATGTACATATACTATACCAACACTAACTGGTGACTCAGTACATATATATGTACGGTACTATACCAACACTAACTGGTCCCTCAGTACATATATGTACATATACTATACCAACACTAACTGGTGACTCAGTACATATATGTACATATACTATAGCAACACTAACTGGTGACTCAGTACATATATGTACATATATTCTATACCAACACTAACTGGTGACTCGGTACATATATGTACATATACTATACCAACACTAACTGGTGACTCAGTAGTACATATATGTACATATACTATACCAACACTAACTGGTCCTCAGTACATATATGTACATATACTATACCAACACTAACTGGTGACTCAGAACATATATGTACATATACTATAGCAACACTAACTGGTGACTCAGTACATATATGTACATATACTTTACCAACACTAACGGGTGACTCGGTACATATATGTACATATACTATACCAACACTAACTGGTGACTCAGTACATATATGTACAGGTACTATACCAACACTAACTGGTCCCTCAGTACATATATGTACATATACTATACCAACACTAACTGGTGACTCAGTACATATATGTACATATACTATAGCAACACTAACTGGTGACTCAGTATATATATGTACATATACTATACCAGGGAGACTATATAAGGTTGAAGAGTATCCCTGACTATACCAACACTAATTGGTCCCTCAGTACATATATGTACATATACTATACCAACACTAACTGGTGACTCAGTACATATATGTACATATACTATAGCAACACTAACTGGTGACTCAGTACATATATGTACATATACTCTACCAACACTAACGGGTGACTCGGTACATATATGTACATATACTATACCAACACTAACTGGTGACTCAGTACATATATGTACGGTACTATACCAACACTAACTGGTCCCTCAGTACATATATGTACATATACGCTATACCAACACTAACTGGTGACTCGGCTGCCCCACCGTACATATACTATACCAACACTCACTGGTGACTCAGTACATATATGTACATATACTATACCAACACTAACTGTTGACTGAGTACATATATATGTACATATACATATACCAACACTAACTGGTGACTCAGTACATATATGTACGTATACTATACCAACACTAACTGGTCACTCAGAGCATATATGTACATATACTATACCAACACTAACTGGTGACTCAGTACATATATGTACATATACTATACAAACACTAACTGGTCACTCAGCATATATGTACATATATGTACATATACTTTACCAACACTAACTGGTGACACACTATATATGTACGTATACCATACAAACACTAACTTGTCACTAAGTACATATATGTACATATACAATACCAACACTAACTGGTCCCTCAGTATATATATTTACGTATACTATACCAACACTAACTGGTGACACCGTACATATATGTACATACACTACACCAACACTAACTGGTGACTCAGTACATATATGTACATATACTATACCAACACTAACTGGTGACTCAGTATATATATGTACATATACTATACCAGGGAGACTATATAAGGTTGTAGAGTATCCCTGACTATACCAACACTAACTGGTCCCTCAGTACATATATGTACATATACTATACCAACACTAACTGGTGACTCAGTACATATATGTACGGTACTATACCAACACTAACTGGTCCCTCAGTACATATATGTACATATACTATACCAACACTAACTGGTGACTCAGTACATATATGTACGGTACTATACCAACACTAACTGGTGACTCAGTACATATATGTACATATACTATACCAACACTAACTGGTGACTCAGTACATATATGTACATATACTATACCAACACTATCTGGTCACTCAGTACATATATATGTACGGTACTATACCAACACTAACTGGTCCCTCAGCACATATATATGTACAGGTGACAAGATATAAGACCGCTACAACTGCCCCTCTCTGATCTAACAGTAGGCATCATGTTCAGTAGAAGAGAAAATCCTCCTGTAACCCCGATGCAATTAGCTAATCCCGATTTGTCATGCAGTAAACAGTACAGTCTGTAACAGTAACATCGAGTAACATGTCTACTTACCCTGACCATGTTCCCCGCTCAGCTACCCTGACCAGGATGAAGTCTCAAAGCAGGGGCTGCCCCTTGGGAAGGCATTAACGCAACTGCTGTCCAGCAGAGCGAGACAACCAGCATTGTGTGGCGGATATAACGCCTATAGTTAACTCGGATATACCGGTGAATCAAGAATGCGAACCACTTAAAGATACCATGCTTCATCAGACTTTTAACTTAGAAAATATAATATATCTGGAATCCTGGACGGAACATTCTTGCATTGTGACCTTTACAAAACCACGTGAAACGTGTCACAAATTTACCTAAAACAACAGTTCGACAATTAGATATTTGGACATTTGTTTCAAGGTGAGGATTGAATATGGTGTTGGTTTAACCAAAGGCTGACAAAACGCCTACACGACATTTGTTTTCAACAAGGCCGAGGGTTCGAACTCATTCTCAATGATAACAACGTACGTAACAGAAGGAGCTGAGTCTGAGTTGGCAGGTAGTCTGAAGGTTGGTGTGTTAGCTCATGGGAAACAACTCAAATATCTGTCCCACTTCCACTTTTGGTGTGCGTCGGTGGCTGAGTGGAGATGGCTAACTTTGTGCTGGCGATCAGGTGCCTCACTCTGATAGATTGGGTACGAATCCCGGAAGTGAATCAACTCAAGAAATTACCTCCATTGATTACAGTGATGATGTACAAGTATTACTTTTTATGTGTTCTTATTACCCGATAGCAAAATAAATAAGATCTTCCTGCCAATTGCACAGGTTTTGTATCTATGTTTGGTTATTGGTTTTTATATCATAGGGTATTGATATTGAGATGGTTAGGACTGACAGATTTGACATCCCCGGATATACAGACACCCTGGTTCTGACGCCATGAATCGTAGTCGACAAATGATGGCGTTACAGCCAGGATAGACGACAGAATGTCACTCAAGTAGCATCTACACGACATTCACACCATACAAGTACACCTCAGAAAACATGTAAAATGTACACACATACAGTCCAAGAACATTCAGTCAACCATGTATAAAAACACATAACACTATAACACAAAACAATAGTAACATATCTGTTCTCACAGTTCTCATGATGCGACACCAGCATGTACACAGTTCTCATGATGCGACACCAGCACGTACACAGTTCTCGTGATGAGACACCAGCACGTACACAGTTCTCTTCATGCGACACAAGCACGTACACAGTTCTCATGATGCGACACCAGCACGTACACAGTTCTCTTCACGATAGCACAGTACCAGTTTCATGAGACACTAGCACGTACACAGTTCTCGTGATGAGACACCAGCACGTACACAGTTCTCATGATGCGACACCAGCATGTACACAGTTCTCATGATGCGACACCAGCATGTACAGTTCTCATGATGAGACACCAGCACGTACACAGTTCTCATGATGCGACACCAGCACGTACACAGTTCTCATGATGCGACACCAGCACGTACACAGTTCTCATGATGCGACACCAGCATGTACACAGTTCTCATGATGCGACACCAGCACGTACACAGTTCTCATGATGCGACACCAGCACGTACACAGTTCTCATGATGCGACACCAGCATGTACACAGTTCTCATGATGCGACACCAGCACGTACACAGTTCTCATGATGAGACACCAGCGTACACAGTTCTCATGATGAGACACCAGCACGTACACAGTTCTCATGATGAGACACCAGCACGTACACAGTTCTCATGATGAGACACCAGCACGTACACAGTTCTCATGATGAGACACCAGCACGTACACAGTTCTCATGATGAGACACCAGCACGTACACAGTTCTCATGATGAGACACCAGCATGTACACAGTTCTCATGATGAGACACCAGCACGTACACAGTTCTCATGATGCGACATCAGCACGTACACAGTTCTCGTGATGCGACATCAGCACGTACACAGTTCTCATGATGAGCACACCAGCAGTGTACACAGTTCTCATGATGCAGCATCAGCATGTACACAGTTCTCGCCATCAGTGTGTACACAGTTCTCGCGATGAGACACCAGCACGTACACAGTTCTCGCCATGCAGCATCAGCACGTACACAGTTCTCGCCATGCAGCATCAGCACGTACACAGTTCTCGCCATGCAGCATCAGCACGTACACAGTTCTCGCCATGCAGCATCAGTGTGTACACAGTTCTCGCCATGCAGCATCAGTGTGTACACAGTTCTCGCCATGCAGCATCAGTGTGTACACAGTTCTCGCCATGCAGCATCAGCACGTACACAGTTCTCGCCATGCAGCATCAGTGCGTACACAGTTCTCGCCATGCAGCATCAGTGTGTACACAGTTCTCGCCATGCAGCATCAGTGTACACAGTTCTCGCCATGCAGCATCAGTGTGTACACAGTTCTCGCCATGCAGCATCAGCACGTACACAGTTCTCGCCATGCAGCATCAGCACGTACACAGTTCTCGCCATGCAGCATCAGTGTGTACACAGTTCTCGCCATGCAGCATCAGTGTGTACACAGTTCTCGCCATGCAGCATCAGTGTGTACACAGTTCTCGCCATGCAGCATCAGCACGTACACAGTTCTCGCCATGCAGCATCAGTGTGTACACAGTTCTCGCCATGCAGCATCAGTGTGTACACAGTTCTCGCCATGCAGCATCAGTGTGTACACAGTTCTCGCCATGCAGCATCAGTGTGTACACAGTTCTCGCCATGCAGCATCAGTGTGTACACAGTTCTCGCCATGCAGCATCAGTGTGTACACAGTTCTCGCCATGCAGCATCAGCACGTACACAGTTCTCGCCATGCAGCATCAGTGTGTACACAGTTCTCGCCATGCAGCACGCTGAGATTCTTAATACATTTAAATATGATTCTGGAGAATTACAAGCCACATTTAATATAAGACATTGCGGCACCATAAGTTTATAACGATCTGAAGCAGGCGGTTAAATAGCAATACATTTGCCCACATCACAGTTTAGCGTCATTTTATGGGCGGGTCTATTCTATATACAATGTATGGACTTCGAGCGGACGGTTTACCCAGTAAAGTGTAACAATGTGTGTTTCCGACCACGCAACTGACCGTGTTTTCTGAAGCGTTGTACATGACTGGCCAGAGAGTGTGAACCAGTGTTTGTCTCCACTCTACCTGAGTAACCAGGTGTTGTATGAGCTGTCAACGTAGAAGATAACTCATCCTTTCTCTGCTAAAAAGTAATCTCAGCCAGCCGGTGGTTTTCTTGATCGGTGTTCAGGTTTCAGCTTCGTAGCGGTCTGTAAGCCGTTATCTTATACACGTGCGCATTAATTAGGCACCACCTGAAGCCAAAGGCAATTTTTAAAGTTTTGCTCCAAGCAGGCAATCATACCCTAGCATACTGGAATGCACCTGAAAAGCACCTGCTTCACACAATATCTCAAAAGCTAAGGGTCTCATGTTTACGCGCAGCAAAGGCGCCAAGCACATTTGGGTATGGAGTAAACATGAACTAAACAGTTATTAGTCGACTTGTGGGGAAGCACGTGATCACGTGAAGTAAAAGATCGTCTAAGACCTGGAAGGCCGAGGAATGACCGTGCTGATCGAATCATAACTCGTCTGGCAAGACGGTCAATCCCCTGAGCCAGCAGTGGGGAGTGGGAGTCCGACTCTCTATCAGTATTATTGGAAGGAGGCGGCGTGGCTGCTTGATTAATGCTCATGTATATACATCTAAGCAGTTTTCTGGATATTGTCCCGAATGAAGATCTGATTGTAAGGGGTAATGACAGGCGACACTCCTAGCCCTAGGTGTGAATGGATGGTATATCTTACTCAGCATATTGTTTCGGTTTATGCAGTTTTTTCTCAACCATCTTGAAACACTATTCCAGGTTTGCAAATAAACGTTTCCACATTTCAGTTAGTAACGTTTCTTTTGTCCGTCAGGACATTAAAAAGCAATGTCCATCATCCACAATCTTAGCAATTGATAAGTACCTTGTTCAAGTTGTTGTCAGTACAAACATGTCAGAGAAAACACCACCCTTAATATCAGATAGTAGGTACGCCGCTTTCAGCAATATTCAAGCGATATCACGGCGTGGTAGACAAGAAATGGATTTCACCATGTGTGTGACTAGGTTATCCCACAGCCCCGGGGGTAGGAATGACGTAACACCACTGTAGAATTGAAGGCCATGTGGCCAAGAATACAACAAGTAATACAACATCGTCATGGTGTGTAGAGTAGAAATATAGTAAAACAAATTATGTTAACGTAGGTTTTGCTTAAGGAATATACATATCCCTTTGAGGCCATTAATATTTTGCATCTTCACGAGGGCTCGAAATTTGACAATTGAAGGTCGACTGTAAAAGTAGGCTGGAATACATTCGGATCTTCATCGTTTATAAAATGGACATATTAGCAACATGTGATATTCGTCTTCAAGCAAGTTTAAATTACAATTTTTACAAACTACTTCATCATATTGAACCATTATCTTTGAGAAACGTTGTTTTTGTATATTCAAGTTATGTGATTGACATCGAAATTTGATTAACACTCGCATTAAATCCAGACATAGGAAAATCCCGTGGTGGATTCGAACATGTGAAACCCAATTTGTGCCTTCGTTGTCATCATAGACTTTCATCATATTATAGGAGGCATTTGGATATTTATTTTGGTCCATACAAATAATTTGGCGCCAATATTTGATACACCTTGAATAATGATATACACACAAAATTATATCTGCCAATTTCTCAAAGTACAGCTAATGATGCAGTTTTTTTACTGATTGACAAAAATCTTTTAAAATACTCACTATGAACCATTTCAATACACCTTCTATAAGTAAAGCCCCAAATTCCCCTTCAAAAGGTTAAGTATCCTACTAACAAATATGTTTTGAGCAATAGATAAAGACATACTTTGAGGCTTGGTGAACACTTGAAACAGAGGGAAGCGTGCACTTTTGGCTTGTAAAGATAGAGTTTCACATGCTTTGGACCAAACTAAACAAGATGAAAGTACAATTCCTAAATATTTATAACAAGGGGTGACCTCTACAGGTAAACCTTTAAAGAACCATTTTTCATTCCCCTTAACACGTCCACCATTTCGAAAACAACCA